GGATCACACAAAGTAATCCCCGTACTTCCGGTTTCACAAGAAATCAAAGGAACAATACCAACAGACAATTTGGATATCCAAACCGACCGACATTTCGGAAGAATTCGTAATCGAATGATCAACACGTACAAAGACAAAAGACCAATAAAAACTGACTCCAAAGTCAAAGAAATCACATACATACAGATGATATGTAAATATAAACTTAATACAATAAGATTTGAATAGCTATTTAACTCACCTCACGACCGAATGTCAAATACGGTCAAACCGAACGACAAACGTCCAACAACTCTTGTAACTGGCTCATCATTTCTTTCATTTCTGCCGGTGCAAGTCGATATGGTATCAGAGTAATGGTTTGAGGGATTTAGATATCAGAAATGATATCGAGACTCAAACCTAGGCATTGAGATCGTATAGTAACTAGGCTATAAATAAGTAATAGCTTATGACTAAACCTCAAATGGTTTGTGTTTTAGAAAAATGCCTCCGAGAAGGGAAGATCCCGATCTCGCAAGACTTGTGTCTGAGYAGGTAYTAGCAGCACTCCCAAATATAGTAAGCCAAGTRGCAGCGGGTCTGAATGCTAACCGAGAAAGCAACACGGGAACAGACTCGAATAGAGATAGAGAATGCACATATAAGTCATTCCGAACCTGTAACCCTAAAGAATTTCATGGAACAGAAGGGGCGGTTGGACTATTAACCTGGATAGAAGGAATRGAATCTGTCCTCCATATAAGTAGATGTACTGAAGGAAACAAAGTGGAATTCGCAGCTTGTCTACTGCAAGGACGAGCACTGACTTGGTGGAACACACAGGTACAAACTCGAGGCCGAGATGCAGCCATAGACTATCATGGGAGGAGTTTAAGAAAATGCTCAAGGAGGAGTATTGTCCAAGGAGTGAAATCCAGAAACTAGAAGTAGAATTGTGGAACCATCAGATGAAGGGAAATATTTTCTAAGTATGAGGAACCAGAGATTAATGGAAGGTGATCCATCTGTTCACCATGTATGAGGAACCAGAAGGTTGATGGAAG